GGAGGCCACCCCTCGTCCCGCGCTGACACGGGGAGGGGCGGGGGGCCGTCCCTCTGCCCGCAGAGGGGGCCCTGCGGGGGCTCAGAAGCCGCCACCCCCTTGTCCCTGTCACAGCCCCTGTGATGTAACCGTGAAGGAGAACTGCCTCTAAGTCAACACGTGCCCAAGATAAGGCTCCTTGTCAGTGCCCTGTGGCTGCTTCTGAGGCGCGGCTGCCATCCTGCTCAGTAAGTGGGGTCCGGGCGGTCTCGGGGCGCAGGGAGCCCTGCCTTGCTCTGTCCCCAGACTCTGGGCTCCCTCCGAAGGATTCCTGGATGTGGGGGAGGGGAGGAAAGATAAGTCATGATTTGTGAAGACAGGGCAAGCTTTCAAAGCAAAAGGGGAAATAAAACCCGTCGGCATTCGCCGGGACAGAGCTGATAATGAGGGTGCTGTAAGAGGCGCACCGGGCGGGTGACGTGGCTTCTGGGCACCGCTGTGTTCTGCGGGCCGGCTGGGCGGCTGAGGCGAGCGAGCCCGTGCGAGGTGAGTCGCACAAAACACGCCTGCCGCTCTGTGCAGGCGCGTGGCGGAGGCGCGTGTGCCGCGGTCCCAGACTGGGAACTAAAATGAGAATCTAGTGTTTGCCAATATTTCTTAAAAAACACAGGCATTTAGAAAACAGGGTACAGGATACCATAAAATACGGAATTTCAGAATTAATTAGGAAAGCTACAGGTGGAGAGAGCACAACAGCAGGAAAGAGAAGGCGGCATCGCGTCTCCCGAAGTGGCTCACTCGGTCTTGTTTCTCTCGGGGTGGGCCAGCGGGGCTGGAAGTCTTAGGATTGTTTGGCTGTAGACAAAACGTACAAAAATTTGCGGGAAGTTCCCATTCGGTTTTAAGTTTACTAATGTAATTATTTACCCAAGGCAACATAAACATTTCCACGTATAGAGAAGGAATGAGAAAGAAAAAGGGACAGAGGAAGAAGAGACAGACAGAAAGAGAGAAATCAAAATCTCTTAATACTCCATGAGCCTAAAACTCATACACACATGGAGAGTGATTGCACTTATAGGCGTATTGATTAATGTATTTGATATTCAATTCCATACGCTATCGTGTTGACAGTTTTATTACCTAGTACCATTTGTAGTTCATGCGAAAGGTCACGCACTGTTTCACAGTTATCAAAAAGTATATCAGCGTGTGCAGCCCTATGTTAATAAGTTTGTCATTTCAGAACAATAAAGTTTTGGAAATCAAACCACCACATTTGTTTCCCTGACCTGAAAGGCTGCTCGGGGACCTTTCCCGCTGAGGGCCCGCGGGTCACCGGTGCACGAGCAGGCGGGGCTCGGTCCCCGCGTGTGGCCTGCCGGGCTCAGCCCCGACCAGCCCCTGCGCCGGCTCTCACCCTGCGCAGCTTGTCTCCGCGGGGGGTGTGCGTCACGTCGCCTCGTCTCTGGACAGGGTCAGCCGGTGCCCCGCACGGCGCCGGCTGCCGGGCCGCGGCCGCGGCTCGGACAGGGACGTGCCAGACCCCAGGCTGACCGTTTCCTACTGAGTTCTGTCCGAGGACCCCCAGGGGCAGGTAGGTTCAGGAAGGCGAGCGTGGACGTGGATGCCCATGAGCCCGAGACATTTAAGCACCGGGAGGTTGCGGCAAAACCCTCCTCCCCTTTCCAAATACTCAGGGTGGCAGCCTCCTTTCTGCTTTGGCTGAAGTGCGTTCATGCCTCTGGCAACAAGTGGAACCCAGAGGTTGTATTCTAAGAGCGTTTCAGAAAACTAATCGGAAGTCAAGTTGTAGTAAAAAAAAAAAAAATTGCATGCATTATGCACGGTCCTCCTTATTCACCGCCGTTGCTTGCAGTGTGCAGTTTTTCACTGGGTGACGCAGTATCCCTGGCTGAACGTGTCCTTTCTGTTTTGCACCTCGGCTTCTTTATTTATCCTCTGCCGCCCTGCCCCTGCCACCGAGAGACACTGTTTATCGCTGATTCCACCGCGCAGGAAAAAATGAGGAAGTTCAAGTAAACACTTCACTCTTAAGGGCCTAGCAGAGCGTGAATCCTCTTAGCTGCTTTTGTGATTTCTGTGCCCTGAGGTCGAGTCTGGAGGTGACTGTCCCCACAGCTGACTCAAAAGGACCCTAAAAGAGGTCCTGCGATGACAGCTTTGGTTCCACAACAAACGCCCCAGGCAGAACACTGAGCTGCGGGCAGAAAGAGGCGGGGCAGTGTGTGTAAGTCTGGACTTCGGGAGAATTTGACCCTTTCTCAGGAACACCGGGGAAATCCATCGCCAATTGTGAAGACTTTACGCAGCTTTCTAGACACATCAGTAGGGCAACAGACCTGCTCCTATTTTCTCCCAAATGTCAGGAAACATAGCTCACACCTGCCGGGAGCCAGACTCTTGACGGCACTCGAGGAACTGTAGGCTGACTCAGTGAAACCAGGGCCAGCGGCTCGCCCTCTAAGAAACCGGGCCACGGGGTCGGTGGCATGGTCGCTCCCTTCTGCCTCGTTTGAATCTTATTTGAACGATTTAATGGCTTTCTGCTGGATTTCAGTGGGTAGCCGTGAGAAGAAAGAGTTGAACCTATTGTCCTTTCGATATAATTTTAAGCTAGTCAAGTAGCTTAATGTGTCCTTGCACAAGGAAAGATCGCCCAGTTGACATCTAGGAAGAGATGGTCCCCGGACATTTGGGTTATTTTTTCCAGGAGAGGTGATTGCCATGCCTGGGACCCAGCCGTGAAGAGGCTGTGGGCAAAGGCTGGAGGTGCTTTCAGGGGGCAGGGTGGAGAGGGGACAGAGCCATAGGAAACCGCGGTCGGTCGCTCGGGCTCCGGCCACACGCAGACTTGGGTGGAACGTACCCAGGTCCCAATGAGGGGCCACCGCCGCTAGTGTCTGGGCTCCTACCTGAGTGTCTCGTGTTGGCTTCAGGATAACCAATTTTCTTTCAAAGGTACTATGTCCAAGACAAAATATCACCATGCTATGTGGGGGGGAAAAGGTAGAAGGCTGTTTTAGGGCAAAATAGATTAATCACCCCAAAAAGTTTGAATGCTAAAATTTGAAAAATCGTCCTATTGTCTGCAGCGGAGATCAGGCATGCGTGGCATGCCCTGGGGGCGTGCTGGGCTCTGGGGAACGAGCAGCTCCCCCGCGGAGACCTGGGAGGGTCTCACTACCTAGGTCAGCAAGGTGCTTGCCGAGGGTAAGCAGAGTTACTCTTTTCACAAGCAGGATTGTAACAAACTGTCTCCTTTGCCAGTCAGTAAAAGTCTCTAGGGAATAGCCATGTTGCATTTTTTTCTGATCTAGAAGTCCTCCTGTTAGTGGAAATTAGGGCAAAGATAGAGCATATATAGTATCATTTCAGGAAACGCCGACTTTCCCAAACATTGCCTTCTTGACTTGAAGAGGAAGCCATCTTTGCTGTTGTTTGTTAAGGGTTTTCATCTTTGCTCCTCAGGCTTAGTAAGTACTAATGCTTCCCTTTAACGTATTAAAAACCTCACCTGTCAAAAATTTAAAAAAATTAAAATATCTGCCTTTATCATCATTGTCATTGTTGATTTATAAATTCTTGTTCTACACGGCACGGAATCATTAGAGAAAAAAACCAAGATTTTTTCTTTTTAACCAAAAATGACGTAACTCTGATGAGCAATTGAGAAACGTATATGCCGCTTCTGTCTCCTGTGTTGTGACATGTTACTAGTTACTCATTAGTAAGTCAGGCAGTGGTAGTGGTGAGTTAAGTAGTGAGTTAGATGAGTAGTAGGTTAAGATATAACAATGAAAAAGGGGTGCTTTTTGGTATTTCCTGAACGTACTCATTCAGCCAACGTCTAGCTTTTGTGGTTCTACCAGAATTATATTTGGGAAATACTCAACCACTTAAAATGTTCGACGGAAAGCAGTCCGCCATTTAAATTCGTACAGAACACAGGTTGGGCTGGTGGAAGACCCAGGATGGGGGCCTGAGCTTCGTTCTGCTCCGGCTGTTCGGCCTTTGCGAATAATTGCTGTGCACACTGGGTAACCGCTGCCGCCAACGGGATGAGTGGAGGAGCGGGGCAGAGCCGGCGCGGCTGATTGGGAGGGGCCGGGGAGCCCCACACCAGGCGGGAGCCCCACGCCAGGCGGGAGCCCCACGCCTGGTTCGATCTTTAACGTCAAGTTCACATGGAAACTGCCCTTCCAAACCCGCTGAGGGAACGCTCAGAATTCCGCATCTGCAATCCCCAGCCCGCGGCCCTCCGCCCTCCTCCTGGACGGGGAGAGCGGGTGGGGTCACAGCGTCCCCATGTCTCCGCGCGCCCACTCTGCGTTCATCGCTGTCGCCCAGCGGCTGACGCCGGCAGAGATGAGGCTGCGTCTGCTCCAGGCCCGGGACCGGGTTCCGGCCCCTCGGGGGGGTCCGCCCCACCTGTGTCATTCTGCCTCCCCGGAGCTCAGAGTGCCACCTGTTCCTTCCCGGCGCTGACACAAACCGTTATTTTCCACATCACGGTTATTTTAGGTTTCAGCTTCTGGCCACATGGGCCTGTCTTTCAATTCTCATTAATGAAAATGGTCATGGTGTTTATTTTCCACCTGGTGACCCGCGCCCAGGACAGCACCTGCTGAAATGACTGTGCTGGTCTTCCTCGGGCCACTGTCCCCTCCTGTGTGCCTTGCTGTCCCCTGGCTGGCCCTGGCGGTGTCTGCCACCCGCGCGCCTCTAGAGGTCCATCCTGAAGTCTCTTTCTTCCTGTTGTGCCGCATACACGGCATTATTGGAGCAGCTATCAGAGCGGATGACAAGGATTATTTCCGTTTCATTCTGCGCGTTAGACAAGCTTTGTTCATGTTTGTATTTCTAGCACGTAACAGATCTCTCATCCTGTTGGTCAATGGGCCAGAAGGCTACGTTTTACTTTAGAAAACAGCTGCCCATTTTTCCTAAACATGGCCACTTGGATCTTCCTCTCTCCGTTTTCCACAGGACGCGAGGACATGGCGCCCACATTTCTGATCCTCCTGGGGGCCGCCGCCGTCCTGCGAGCAGACGGAGTTCCTGGCACATGTAAGTGCCACCTACGAAATGCAACACTGTCTCTTAAAAACCGAAGCACATTTCAGAGCTGATAGCACTATTTTCTTCTCAATGATCCCTCCACTCGGAAATTATATGTGGATTTTTTTTTTCAAGGGGTGGAATATTTGTCCTTATCAGAATACAAACTCTTTATGCTGCATTTTCAGAAAGCGAGTTTGGCCCAAATGCAAATCGATGCTGCAAGGGCACTTGTTTTGCAAGGGTGGGGGTACGGGCCCCGCAGAATAAAGCCCCTGGCATAAGGCTGGAGCTGGTGGCCGCCCGGGAACGTGTCTTCCACGAGGGAACGGTTAGGAGGCCTTATAGCCCAGGGACAACTGTCTTCCGCCGCGCTTGGCTCAGAAATTTGTCGATCTGTGGGTCTGCTGCGAAGACCGAGTCTAAGAACAGACACCTGGCACGAGGCCCGCACCCGTGCTGGCTGAGAGAACGGCCTCCGGCGATGAGCGCGCCTCCTGCTGCGCCTCCGCCGCGGCGGCTGCTGAGCCCTGGGACTGGGGCTCCCGCCACCAAGGCCATGAGGGTTTTATTTTTATTTTTTTAAGTTCGTTTAGATTTAAAGAGCCACACGTGCCCCTGGTGGCTGTGCCGCACAGCGCAGCATAGACAGTGGCCCGGGGGCCGGGGTGTGCAGGGAGGGGGGTGGGGGGGGTGGGGGGCGCTTGGGCGGGTCCCAGAGGCTACGAGGTGCACATCCCGACCACGAAGCAAATACCCAAGGGAGGTTTCAGAGTCGTGGTACCATATTATCCTAATTTTAGAAAAAGCGTAAAAGGGTTTATTCACATGTGCCCAGGGATAAAGGACTATATCCCAGGTTAGTACCATTCTGAGTGGTAGGTATGGGTGATTTTTCTTTTCTCTTTTTTTTTTCCATCTGTGCTTTCCAAAATTTCTAAAATGTACAATCATTGCTCCGTAATTGAAATAAAAGCTTTCATTCTGAAGGCAAAGTTAGAGAGGGGTTAACTAAGGAAAATTTTTTAAAAAAATCTTTTTCTCCACAAATGACTATTTAAGTAGTTTTGCTTCCAAATTTGTTTGACTTTGACTCATGATAAGAAATCCATTTCACATCATGAACCATTACACATACAAATGCATAAGTACATTCATATAATGGAAAGAAGAGGTTTATGAAACAGAATCATTATGGAATGTATCTTTATTATAGTTGATGCATGAAGCAGCACTTCGATGTCTTTTCTGTTTTATTTGCTTCTGTGTCAGTAAAAAATACTGCCAGCCACACACCAATACATCATTCCAGCCAATCAATGCGTAATGGCCTTCAGTTTGAAAACTATGGTTCCAAACAGTAAAAGGTACAGTGAAATATTCATAGTTCAATTAAAAATCTGCAGGTGTTACAGGTAAAAACCCAGGCAAAGTGAAAAATGATAATGAGCTAAAAGCATCTGTAGCCCTGGCCAGAGGGGTTCCGTTGGCTGGGTGTCGCCCCACAAACAGAAAGGGCGACGGTTCAATTCCCGGGCAGGGCACACGCCCGGGTTGTGGGTTCTGTCCCCAGCTGGGACACATGCAACAGGCAACCAATTGATGTTTCTCTCTCAAATCGATGATTCTCTTCCTTCCTTTTTCCCTCCCTTCTCCCTCTCTAAAATCAATAAAAGATATAAAAAAAAAAAAAATTAAAGCAGCCTTAAAGGAACTTCTTCCAAAAATTATGTCAGTATTATACATTCTAATAGCCGTAATAGGATACTAGAGTGCACAATAACATATTTTAAAACTTTAAGAAGTGCTGCCTCTGTAAACTGAACCCCTGTACCTCCTTTTTCTTTTGGTCAGTTTCATTTCTCCCACCTGCCAACTTCACCATTAAAGCTACCGGTTTGGCTCAAGTTCTTCTACGCTGGGAGCCGAACCCCGATCAAGAGCGAAGGAAGCTTCAGCTGGGCTATCACGTGAGGATCCATGCTCCACAGGCTGATGACGTGAGTCCATCCTGATGGCCATCTGCCTGGAGCGTGGATGCTAACTTTGACACATTTTCCTTTCCAGAGGAAACTTCCACTAAACAGAACTGCTGCAACGGCTGAGCGCTCGTGCGTGCTGGTCACCAGCAGCCCAGGGCACCTTAACTTGGGGACAATTCTCTTAAAAAAGAAAGTTCAGTAACTTCTGAGGTACAGCAGGTTAGATATTGGTTTTGTCTTCTCTAAAATAGCCAAGAAGCAAAACCAAACAAAACAAAAACAACCACAATAACAAAACACCAGAAGAAGCTGGCTAAATAAAACGGGAGGAGAGCAGGTCACCAAGTTCCTCTGCCTGCGACCTGGGCTGCGACGCCTACATCTCAGGGCCCCGGGGTCACTGCAGGGTCAGGTGAAAGCGCTTGGAAACTAGTCAGCACCCAAAGCAATTAAACAGAGGGTGCAGCAACGGCAGAGTGTTGACTGCTCTTCCGTCAGCACGGAATCCCAGAGAATCGTACGTCCAAAAGTTATCTACGGGAGGAGACGGGATATAGAGAGAGTGGTCAGAGGGAAGTGGGACTTATTTGTAGACTTCTGTTTGTTTTTATAAGAAGCATGTGTTTGTGTATCATAGAGGAATTGATCATGATGTTTTCATTATAATGATTTTTCTTAAAAAACATGAATGAATGCTAGAACAGGGTCATTTGTTTATCCAGTTTTGAAAACCACCGGATGGAGGGTGATCGAGGTGTAAAAAGCCGTCCCTATTTAATATAAACAACTTAATGAGTTTAGGGTTAAGCATAGGCTCATGGAACTGTGGGTTTAATTTCTTAGCAAACCTATTTCGTTGCATTGTATGTGCCATTTAAGAATCGGAAGAACATGCATATTTGTTTAAAATAGCTCCCTAAAGGCTGTCTGCCTCTGACGTATTGTGACTTGCGGGCTTTGTTTTTAGTACGAAACCAAGAACACTGAAAGCCGGCGGGTGAGCGTCCTTCACCAGGGCTTCTCGGCAAGCGTGCGGACCGTCCCGTGGGAAGGCCGCCTGCGGACCGTCCCGTGGGAAGGCCGCGCCCTCCCTGCCAGCCGCTGGGTGTCTGCCGAGCTGGAGGCCCCGCCAGGTGAGGCGGGCTCCGTGGGAGGGGGCAGCCCGAACGCCAGCAAGGCGCTTCCCCCGAGTCCGCCGTCCGGCCCCGCCCAGGGCCCTTCCGCGGCACTGACGCCTTGGCCTAGGCGGCTTCACGCCCCACTGTCCCGACCCGCCCAGCGCCCCCTGGCGGGCCCCTGCAGACTGTGCTCGCCCTTCTCAGCCGCTGCCAGGGGCTCGAGGGGTCATCGGGCCCCTCGCAGCCGGGTCCTAAGGGGCCTGCGTGGGTGCTCCGCTCCGCTCGGATGTCTGACCACGAGCCCACACACAGCACTGCAGCCGCGGGGCCGCTGCCCTAGCCCGGCTCCTCGGAATAAGCCCGCGCGTCGAAGCCCAGACCAAGTCCCAGCTCCACTTCGCTCGCCTGTGCGCGGAAGGGCGCTCTTCCTCCTCGCGGTGGCTCCGTGGGCTGAGCCGCTCATGGGCACATGGCATTATTTATCTTCCGCAAACAGATGACACCGCTGCCCGCTACCAGGCCGGACGGGGCAGGGCCTGTACTATGCTTCATCACACCCACGCGACGAGCAGGGGGCGCGTTAGACATGGGGTTCGTTTTCAGTTCTGCAACGCCTCACCCCACTCGAAGGAACCTTTGCTGGCAGTGCGCAGGAGGCACAGCCTGCAAGCCCCAATGCCCCGAGGAAGAGAGGGTACGCCCCCGTCTCTGCAGCGTCCTCAGGGGGGAGCCCGGGTCCCCGACACCTAAAGCCAGTGACGTTGCCGATTAGGCACTTGGACACACACACACACACACACACACACACACAGAATAAGGAACAGAGGAGGGATGTGCGAGCGACGTAAGCCCAGGCGCCTTGGCTGGTCTGGCCCGTGGGTCACTGTTGCGCCGTTCACTGGACAGCGAGGCTGCGCCTCCCGCGTCACGTCGGTGACTGACAAGTTTTGTCGAGATCGTCCGTTTGCTCATTGGAGCCCGTTGTCCATGCCACACAGCCGCCCATCCACAGCGGGCACGAGCCGAGTTGAGCCACTGGGCCGGACCGGGGCCAACGGATCCCAGGTGCCGTTGGACCCCAGGTGCTGTCGCAAGGCCTCCCGCGATCCACTCGCCGCTCCTGGAGGAAATGCCTGCGGCCCCTCCCCTCCGTAGTGCACCTTCCGGAGCCGTGTGCTGCAGTGCCGATCCTCCTTGGAGCACAAGGGTGGAAAAGGAGTTATTTCTGCCCGAATCCAGCCGAACTCACACGCAATAACTCGCTCCTTGGACAGGGCGGGGAGGCACGCGGACTTCAGGCTGCCATCAGGCATGGCCCCCAGGCGCTCAGAGCACAGGCAGACCCTCTTCTCTCCATGAGAACGACTGTCGTGTCTCCTTGTGTGTGTGCACATCATGCACACGACACATATAGCAATGTGTAGGGGTCACTCAAAGCAGACTGGCCGCAGCCGGCTTCCCCCATCCTTAGCTTCTCTACAGACAGCGGGGGCCTCATTTCCGCTCCCCCGTGAATGACCCTGGGTTCCAGTGACAAAAATGACCTTATAACTGACTGACGCTGAGCTCAGAAGGCCCCTGCCGTCCCTCACGGTTGGGTCTGCAGGCATGCACGTGGTGGGGTCTCCCCGGCCCCCAGACTCCGCGCGTCTCTGTCCCCTGAGCGAGCTCTGGGCCGGGGTCTACAGTGTGTTCTGAAGGCGCCGGTTCCCACGGTGACAGGAAGCTGAGAAGAGCAGGGCTTCCCAGCCAAGGAATCTGGGGCACCCCTGGGCGAAGTGAGCCTAAAAGGGCTCCGTTTGAAATCTCGTTTTCCTTCAAGTCGTACCATAGCACACAGGCCTTGGCCACGCGAAGTTGTGTGGACTCTCTGAGGGCGGCACCATTTTGCAGCAACCCCAGATTGCACACCCCCCTCTGCCCCGAGAAGCCCTCCGCGTTCCCCGTGCCGCGTCTGCTCGTGGCCTCGTGAGCTGCGAGCATGGCACGTGGCCTGGGAGGCGTCCGTGGGCCGGCTCTCTCCTTCTCGGCCGGGGAAGCCAAGGCCCAGGCGGGCGGGACCGAGGCGGCTTGGGTGGCTGCTGATAAATGCACGTGGGAACACCGAGGCTGCCGGACACAGGGCTCCAAATGACGATGTATTGCAGGCTCCTACATTTCCGCTTCCGTCTGTCCCCCACAAGCCCTCCCCCGCACTGTAGCCAGAGAGCTCCCCAATGAAAGGAACTCACTCCATCCCGCAGGGAGCGGGCCCTTTGCAAATAGTAGGTTTCTACAAGTGTGTGATGGCAATTGCTCTTTGGGGGTAGAGGAGGTGTCCTCAGTCCCTGCGGTTGCAGAGCAAGTACAGGACTGAGTCGGTCGTGACCGTTTCTTGTTCTCATGTTGGACTGTCTAGGGTCCCCTGGCACCTCGGCTGTGAATTTAACCTGCACTACGAACACCGTGGCAAGTAACCTCACAGAGTCCAGGCCCTACTGGGTCTCTCTCCGCTGCGCCTGGCACGTTGGCAAGGAGGCCCCCCTGGACACGCAGTATTTCTTCTACTACAGGTGGGTGGTACCTGTTGTCACCCATGCAACGGGGTCGTCTCCACTGATCACAAAACCTCACGAGGGTTCCGATTTAGGTATGGCTCCCAGACCGAAGAATGCCGAGAGTACAGCCAGGACGCGCTGAAGAGGAACGTCGCGTGCTGGTTTCCAAGGACCTTCATCCAAGGCAAAGGGCGGGACTCACTGGCGGTGCACATCAACGGCTCCAGCCGCTGCGCCGCCATCAAGCCCCACGACCAGCTGTTCGCTCTTCACGAAATCGGTGAGACAGGTCCCGTCTTGAGGTCTGTCCCCCCCAGGCTGCCTGCTCCCATCCACACCCTCCTCCGTTCTGCTCTGCCGCCTCTGGGGGCTTCGGAGCCAAAGATGCCTCTCTCGGCCTGAGATCCTCAGACAGAAACGTATCGCGCCAGGTCCCATTTGCTCGGGGCTCAGGCGGAAGGCATCCTCCTTCCTGCCCGATGAGGGCTCCCCTCGGCCGCCCGGGAGCCCCTCCCACAGCCGCCCTGGTGATGGACGGCGGGGCTGCCGCGGAGGGGCAGGCGTTGTTGTGGGCAGGGGGCTCGGGCCCGGCCGTTCCGGGGCGGGGGGGACACCTCAGACAAGCTGTCCTCCCTCTGAGCCTCGGTCGTCTCTGTAGAATGGGAGGCAGTAACACTTCCTGCGAGGTTTTGTGAGAACTAAGTGTGTTAATAATTATAAAGTGCTTAGAACAGCACCCTGTGCAGGTATCCAATAAACACGCAAAATATTATTCTTCAAAGGACATGCTTTGGCTGTGACACACCTGGAAGAAATGGAATATAACTTTGTTTAAAGAATCACAGCATTAGCTAAAGAGGAACATGATCCTCTTCGAGGGCATATTTCTTAGGTGACTTAAACATGGCACTTTCAGGACAAGAGGCGAGGCCGGTGCTGAGGCGGCCTTGGGGACCATGGAATTACCACGAAAATAGACAGAGCCTGACCCTGGCCACAGGGAGGCGTTCGCTTTACACGATTTTCGGTTCACTGAGACCAAGTCCCCAGGTTCCTAAAGCAAGTAAACATTTCTTTGGTTAAAAACTTTCTCCTTAGGGTATGGCCGGGTCTGGAGCCAGAGGCTCCCGTTCGTGGCTTGTCCCTGGGCCTCCGTAATTGTGAGATCTTAGTCCCATAACCCAAGACAAGAATACTCACCCAGAAGTAATTTCCACCCACATCACAGGGCCGAAGACAGCCCAGTGAGGTCTCAGGGGAAAGGCCTTAGTTTTTGTTTGAAAGACAAGACAAGTTTAGCCCGATGCACTGTTTTTGTGCTAGAGAAGAGAGAGCTTCCTACTCTGTCTCCCGCACACACCAGAACAAGACGCACGAAACGAAACAAAAGCCGCAGCCCGGGACGGGAGGGGCCATCTGGCTGCCCACCACACAGGGGGGCAGGGCCCGCTGGGCGCCCGGGGACGTGCTCTGCGGGCTCCGTTCACCCTCCACCTCGAGCAGCTGAAAGGGGCGGCGGGCCAGCCTTGCGGTGAGCCGCAGGGAGGGGGTCTGCCTCGCAGCGCCACGCCAGGCCAGGAACGCCTGGGGCCGCGGGAGGGACGTGGGCCTCCACGAGACAAGACCGCACCCGGGCCTGGCCGCCAGAGTCCCCGGGCTTGGAGTTCGGGCGTGTACACCCTGCGGGCGACTGCTTGCACGGGAGTGGTCGGCCTGCTCACTGACCTCTCCTCTAACCCAGATCAAGTAAACCCTCCTGGGAACGTCACGGCGGAGATTGAAGGGACCCGCCTCGCGCTGCGCTGGGAGAAGCCAGTTTCCGCCTTTCCAGCCCATTGCTTCAACTACGAAGTCAAAATGCGCAACACCGGGAGCGGCTACACCCAGGTAATTCTCCAGATCGTCCCGACGCGTGGCGGTAGCACTTCAGAAACATTTAAACAGCTATCGGCAGTGGCCGCTCGGGGTGCCGCTTGGGGCTAACGAGGTCGCAGATCCCTCCCCTCCACCCAGGTTTATGAAAATAGGCCAAACTTCGCTGGCCTTTTGGCTTGAAAGGACATACTTGTAGCGGAAAACCGTGCAAGGGGTCCGATAAACGCTCTGCACTCCTGCTCGTAGGCCTGCCCGGGGTGGGGGCAGCCACTGGGGGAAACAGCAAGGCGGTTTCTCAGAGAGTAAAAATGGGGTCGCCGCACGACCCAGCAGTTCTGGGGGTCCATCCAAAGCAGCTGCCAGCAGGGTCTCACGGAGAAATGTGGACGCCCGTGTCCGTCCCGGCATTATCCACAGTCGCCGAGGGGACGGAACCACGCGGGCGCCCCATTGGATGAATAAACAAAACGAGGCAGATACAGAAGACGCGACATCATTCAGCCTTAAAAAGGGAACTCGGAGACGTGCCGCAATGTGGGCAGCCCCGAGGACCGACCGCTCGCTAAGGGAACTGGCCGGCCACAAAGAGACACACACTCTACGGTCCCACCTACGGGAGACAACGGGAGAGTCGATTGCAGAGAGACAGAGCAGCCAGGGGCTTTTAGGGGCTGGGGGTGAGTGCTGAGTGGGCGGAGTTTCCATTTTGCCAGGCGGGGACCGGGCTGAAGACGGTGGACAGCAGGGTGCCTGTCCCGACCACGGCTGAGCTGTGCGCTTGGAAATAGGTAAGGCGGCAAGTTTTATGTGGCGTGTATTTTACCGCCACTTAAACAACTCATGAGCTCCCGTGAACGAGGCGTTCCAGAGGAACGGGGCTGAGGAGAAGGCCGGTGTCGGCTGAGCGCCCGCCACGGGCTGGGCTGGGCTTGCTCTGAAGGTGACCCGCCTCACAGTACGTCCCTCGCGTCGCTACCGCGCTCTTTTTCCGGGAAAGTGGGGCACAGAGGGGTCAGGAGACTTGCCCAGGGTCACAACGCTGGGAAAATGCGGGGAAGTCAGGATGCGAACGCAGGCCTTACCAGCAGCGGGCAGAGCGAGTGCAGCTCGGGACCATCGGATTCAACAAATACGTACAAGTGGACTTCCTCCAGAACGAAGCTCAGACTGTGTTTATAAAAAAAAAGGTTTCTCTTTAAAAACCGTAGTCACAGGCAGTGAACCGACGGGAGGGTTTTTACTCAGCACAGAAACAGGAGCACATCTGTAGAACGAAGGGATCGTTCCGGTCGCAGCATGAAAGCCGGGTGGCGGGCGAGGGGTCTCTTGGACTTGGGGACACCGGCCAATGGCTGCAGCAGCGTCCAAGCCCCGGGTGACCGGCTGAAACGCCCAGTGCTCGTGGGGGCTGGCGCGGAGGGGAGAAACACTCCTGGGAGAACTTAGGGCGCGGCAGGTCAGGGGCCCCTCTCTGGTGGGGGCCCCACGGCTGAGCGGGGGCGGGGAACTGCCTGGGTGGGGGGAGGGGCGCCGAGGCGAAGGGTTTGCGTGGGAGGAAACAGCCTCCCTTCCGCCCAGGGCCCAGTCAGCTCAGGCTGCCTGTCGCCGCCGAGTACACGCACTGAGACCGAACCTTCCCAAACTGCTGTTTTTGCGCATTAAAAATGGGTGAATCGCGGCTGTTTTCATGTGCTTCAATCCCATAGCTTCTTACGCTTGGGCTAGACAAAGGTCATCCCGTGTAACTCTGTGACCCAGGAGCTCGGTGGTGCTGCCCCTGTGTTATGGGGGGTGGGGAACGGCAGCCGGGGGCGGGGGGCCCAGGGACTGTCCTGCAAGCCCTCGCAGTCTCCCTCTGCTCCCCGTGCCCCCCTCCGCCCCAGCGCGCCCCCGGGGCGTAGACCGGGGAGCAGCGCGTTTTCCGGCAAAGGACCAGGCACCTCAGGCTTCACGGGGCACCCGGCTGGGGCCACCGTCGCCCTGCGCCGCGCGCTGGGCGAGGGCAGCCGTGGGCGGCACAGAAGCACGTGGGCACGGGTGGGCACGGGCCAGGGAACTTCGTCTGTGGGGCCTAAACGCCAACCTCATGTCACTTTCCTGTGCCACGGCACGTTACTCTTCCGGCTGCTTTCAATCGCTTATAGCACGCGCTTTGCCTGCTGGCCTGAGGGACCCCCGGGCTGTAGTTCACCAGGGCAAAATAAAGGGGAAGCCAAGCAAGCGGGGTGGGGCATTTGAGTGCAGAATCAGAAGGGACGAGATGGGGGTCGTGCCTGGGGGGTCCGCCGCTCCAGCCTTCCCATCGGGACACCCCGTTTGGACCCCGCAACGGACCATCATGCTCTCACGCTTGCCCGTTCCATTTATTTTGGTCACCAGAGAGCTTTCCCCTGAAGGGCGACTCGTCCACCGGGAGTGGCCCGAAGCAAACCAATCAATATGTGACCCATTGATCGCAAACGGGTCACCAAACAGAGTCTCATCACTTACACAGGACTTCCCGTTCTGATCACCGGCCTGCCTTAGATCGTGTGTGTAGAGATGACTCTAATGTTAGATTTTTTTCCCGTTTAGACCAGAGAATCGAGGACCAACGAGTTCAACACCACGGTCAGCGAGGTTTCCAAGTACTGCATCGCGGTGAGAGCGGCCCTGAGCAGCCTGTGCAGAGAGGGGTCCTGGGGGCCCTGGAGCCGCCCAGTGCTCGTGGGTGAGTGTCCGGTGCCCGCCGCCCCGCAGGCCCGTTCCCGCTGACGGCGGGAGCCCTGGCGCCTGCGCATCACGCGTGGGTGTCGGAACTCGGTCGTGTGTCCCTGGTGCCCTGTCTGCTGCCGTTCCACTGCCTTCCTGACCGGAGGGGGCGCTTACTCGGAAGCCGTGACCCTCAAATGCGCAGGCTTCTCGCTTTGCCAGCCTTCCCCAAACCCTGGACCCAGTTTTTTTCTAGATGGTCTGATTCCACCTCTATCCGATCTTTTATAACCAAGTTTTTTATTTTGGGAACACTGGATCCACAGGCCGCTGTCAGACCTAGCGCAGAGCTTCGCCGGCTCGCTCTCATCCGGGCGGGGCTAGGTCGGCGGGAGGCGTCCCGTCCCCGGCGTCTGCCGCGGGGGACAGAGCGGCGGCCAGCGCGCTGGGCTTGCGGCCCTGACCGAGTCGGTCCTGCCTCGGCCCCGGGGCCGTTCCCTGGCCCCGAGGGCCTTCCGAGTCTGCCGCTCTGCCGTCTCTCGCGCGCACCATCCGCCCATCCCAAAGGTGCGGGGAGGCAGCTGGTGATCCAGAGCTAGAGTGTATCTGAGCTGGTTTTAAGAATTTCTTTCTCACTCTCCGGGGTGCGCTGGCTGGGAGCTGGGCCCCGGAGGGTCTCCCCCGGGGCATCTTGCTACCATTACTTGGGGGAAATCCCACTTTCTCATGAAGATGAGCTGACGGACATCACTGCTCACCTAATAAACCCATGTCCCCCAGAATGTCCCCCCCTGCTCCCTGTGGGATCATCAGAGAGCTAGTGCTGGCGCTGCATTTTCATCCCGGTGATTAACAAGCATCGTGGGCAACCGGCCCCCCCAGACGCTGGGCAGGACCGTGCTCCCCCTGAGGGGCGCAGTCATTATACTCGGCTTGCCGCCTGGCAGGCGACCTCGCGGCCACATCCATTTCCTGTTGACGGTGCCCAGGAGCCTCCCCTCCCATCCTTGCTCCAGCGCCCGCTCCGACATCGCGCCTCCTTCTCAGAGTGTCCAGTCCGCCTCCTTCGTTCTAAGGTCGGGGGGTGGAGCTCCCGAGATGCTGAAAAACTCAGTCGTTGTCAGACGAAGTGGCTGTGCAGGCATCACTCTGCCCAGGAGGCGGCCCACGTGTCAGCCTGGGTGCGGAGCAGATCCAATGAGCCCGTCGTAGCCCGAGCGGAGTGACTAACACGGGGAACGTGGGCTGCGCAAGGTGTGATGGGTGGGAGAGGAGGGGCCCGAGGGGCCGGGCCGAGGCGGCTCGGGGCGCCCCCGGGGGGACAGCCCGCCGCGAGGGCTCCTTGCCTGGCCCGGGACTCGGCAAAAGCTGTGTCCTCCGGTGCTAGGACATCCAGAGCAGGGGACAGACGTACTTCGTAAAAACCAGAACAAGCAGTTTCGTGGTATCAGCGCACACCATCGCCTGCCCTTCCTCAACGGGCTTCTAGGTCTTATCTCAAGAGCTAACTTCCCACTTTTCATCAATTTCTCCTTTCTAAACTGTCTTAACTTCCACTTTCTGCTGTTCCTTTGTTGTCTTTGCTTCTTCCATTTACCAAGCCCTTTAGTTCCCCAGCCCCAGCAAAACCCAATGCCACGTGCGAGGCAAGCGATTGTGGAAACAAAACTTGCTGCCGTCCCGGCCTTCCCCACGGAGGGGAGGGTGTGCCAGGCGTCCCCGGCCTTGATTTCCAGCCCTGTCACGGGTCCGGCTCGCCCCTCCGAGTCCTGCGTCTCGGTGACCGGCTCAGCCACAGCCGCAGGCCTCGTCCCCGCAGGGCTGAGCGCCGAGCCCCGAAGGCGAGGGTCAGAGCGGACGGCGCGGGCGCGAGGAGACGGCGCTGTTAAGGAGGGTTTCGGTGTGAGACGGGCGTCCGGCAGCCCCAGGCTCGCCTTGGTGCGCGGTGGCTCAGCTTGCGGGCCACGCCTGCGGGGGGCCCGTCGCCCTCGGGCGCCCCTTCCACCGCAGGACAGCCCCTCTCAGGAAACCCTGGCCCTGGCCGCTCTGTCACGCGGGGGCAGAGGGCAGGGTGCTCCTGCAGCCACGCGACGCACCCTCGGCGCCTGTAAGGACTTGGTGCAAGCCACCGAGGCAGAAGACGGGGGCGCGTGGGGTGTGGCTGGGATGGAACAGGGAGCGGTCCCTTTGCCCTCTGACTTGGCATTCGTGGCTGTAGCCCTCTGAGGGGACCCGGCCCCTTGGCCCCGGGCACCTGCCACAAAAGCCGGAGCCACCTGCGAGGCTCGACCCTGTCTCCACCTGGTATGCGTTGGGGATCCTGCCGCCAGCCTGTAGCTCCGACGGCTGCCCTCTGATTCCTGTGCCTGCTCTTTCTCTTCTTCTTCCTTGCCGCCCCCGCACGGGAAGGGGCGGGACTTGGGTCCCGGGGCCCCAGAGGCGGAGCAGGGCCGCGGTCCGGGGCCGGGTGGGGTCCAGGCCTCCGTCGATGCCCCCCCCCCGCCCCAGTGCATACCCCTGCTCCCCCTCATCTTCCCGGAGTGCGGAGACAAGAGCATTTTCATGCGTTAGATGTCAAATCGACGGAAGCCGACACCACCAGAACCCAGACGGCTGGGCTCCGGCTGGTGACATCGGACAGGCACTGGGAAGGAGTGGGAGTCCAGAGGGCTCAGAAGGCTGGGCTTGCTGACACCCCCTTTCCAGGGCTCACAGAGTGGTGCCCGCTGATTTCCTGAAAAGAAACATCTTTGAGTCTCCTTGAGTGAGAAAGCTCCAGTCACCTGGAAACACTGGTTCTTCAGAAATTTGCTGGGGCTAGAGATTCCAGGATGCAAATTCATGACCTTTTCAGAATCAAAATGCTAATCATTTCAACCCAAGGACACGCACGGTCAGGTGGGAACTGTTCCCCGAAGGGCAGCCTCTAACTCACTTACTTATATCCCCGACTCTAAAGGGTCTGCATCGATAAAGCGCTGAGCAGCCGGGGATCCACAGGAATTTCCACTTGGCCTTGGGCACGTGGGAACCTTGGCTGGGCCTCGGCGGCCCCGCCGGGGCGTGTTTCCTTCACGCTCAGCTGACCTTGGCCCTCTCCTCTGGGGTCCCCCGCCCTGGGACACCGCAGAAGCCAGCTCGGAAAAATGACCGCCCTGCCCACCCTGGGGCAGGCAGCGGCCATGACTTCGAGCCCATGCGCACCTTGCACGCGCCAGTACCTTTGTGGGGCTGAGAGTTCCAGCCACTTCCCTCGGTGCTCTTGCTAATTCTGCGAGGACCTTCACTTATCAAAGGCAGCCCTGAAGGGAGCAACGAGTGGGTGGTTTAACTGAAGAGATTTTTGTCAGGCCGGGGCAGACAGGCTGTTATCAGCCCTGCCGAGAGTCGGGCTGCAGGGCGCGGCACCACGTGAGCTGCGAGCAGAGCCGCGTGTGCGACCCTGATAATGTTTACATCACTGTGCCTCCTTCCTGCAAGACCCGAACTTGACCCCGTCGTGAACGGGACTGTTCCCGCTGACAGATGCCTCTCCGGGTTCGTGCGCCGTGTACTGAGCCTGGAGCTTCTGAACGCACTGCCTGGGCGCGTGCGTCCCGGCGGAGCGTCTCGGCGACCCGCAGGTGGCGCGGACATCCCGCTGGGACGGCAGCGCGGCGGCGCTCCCTGAGACAGCATCGGCTCTTCCCCGTCACTCTGCGCACTGGCTCTGAGCACGTGCAGCGACAACTAGGTCTGGGGGGACCCGGGGTGCAGCCCGGGGAACCGGCTGTGAGCCCACGAGCTGCCGCGCCCTGTGTGGTTCGGGACGTTGAAAGGTTTGCCTCTCAGAGGTTCTTTTTCCATTATTGATGAAACATGGCTCTGGCTGTTTGTAAAATAGTAGATGGAAATACAGGAAACTTTTCAAAACACCAGGCCACAGGGTCAAAGCGATCCGCTCCTGCTCAGAGCCTCCGGGACACCGGCCGAAAGGTCAGCATGCGGGACAGCCCCCTTCAAAAGGGGTCGCGGCCCGCAAACCCAGCCCTGCCCGGGGTGGGGGCACAGAGCCAGCGGGGGCCGCCCTGCAGGGCGCTGTGTCCAGCCAGGAGGGGGTGCTCAGGAGGGCGTTAGGCGACAAAGAAATGCTTGGGAAGGGTTCAGGGGTGTGCCTGCCTGCGCAGTGTGCCCCGGGGGCCAACATCGGGGAGCATCCCTCATGGGAACCCCAGTCCCGCCCCTGCTGGGGTGTCGCGTTTCTGGCCCTCTGGCGGCGTCCCTGTGGCCGGACTTGGGACTGCAGGGAGGGAGGGCCCATGCGCCCGGCCACACGAGGGCGCCGAACGCCACGGGAGCCCCATTAACCTGGAACGGGGGGTGCGCGATGGCGGACAGCCGGCGGCCTCCACCCCAGACGGGAGCCAGTTCGTAGGCGTCAGCGGGGACTTGCCCTCTCCTCCGGACATGGCCCAGATGGCGGAGCAAGCCCGTGACCTCTCTGAACACCATTTGCAACACAGAGTGAAAGGCCTTGGATTCTTCATGAACGCATGTCTAGTGGCCTGAAAAAGTCACGTCTCCCCGAGCCCACAGCCGCCGTCAAAGCCCGCAGAAGAATCCGTGTAGGTCCTTCTTCACCGACACGAAGCAAGGTTTGCAAGAGAGACGGGCAGCGCACAGTGACAGGGTCGGCCGTGGTGTGGCCTCGCTGGCCGAGATAGGCGGGTCACGGGCCGGGCGCCGAGATGGCGAGATCGCGCCGCGCTCGCAACGCAGGGCCCGGCGCTGTGCCTGGTCACCATGCGTGTCAGTCCATGTTCACTGGCCCTAAAGGCTCAACCTCCACCTGGGGAAACACGCCGGTGGCCACGTCACTCGGTCCCCAAGGAGGCCTACACGTTTGCCCCTTTTAGGTCCGAAGCCCCATTGCGCCCTCGAGGGGACGCGCACCGGGCCGTAGAGCGAACAGCCAGCGTGCCCACAGCACCGGCGGGGTAAGCCCCGCTGGGGGAGCGGGTGGCCTCGCCGTGGCACTTTGTCTCTTCACCCTCGGGTCTGCTTTGTGGGGTGGGCGTCACCCCGCGACCCGTCCAGGTGAGACGCCCGGGGCTTGGGAAGGCCGGGTCCTTGTCCGCCGGCAGCGGCTGCCGCGCCACCCAGCCCAGCGGCCGCTGCCTGAGGCCTCCCATTTCCCCTGCCCGTCGTGGACTCAGCTCTGGTTTCTTTCTGCCTCTTGTTCGCCAGGACGCGACGAGCGGACGCCCTGGATGGCGTGGTGTCTGACCCTGGTCATGGTGGCCCTGTGTGTCTTGCTCGCCGGCCTGGTCTCCTGCAGCACGTAGGTGTCCTTCCCGCTGGCTGCGTCGGGGGCCTTGCTGCCCGGCGGCGCCCGTGACGCCCCTGCTGGGACTTGCCCACCGTCTGTTCATTTGTGCGACAGTTCTTACATCCATGTTCCTTGGGCCCCTTGTGGCCTGGCTGTCCCCTCAGCATGTGGCTGCCTGTGTCTGCACACCTGTCACATCTCAGCTCCAGAAAGGCAGCACATGGGTCTGGGGCCCCCCTCCCTCTCCCCCGGGTGACCCCGGCCCTTCGGCCATCCGTCCCCGAGTGGCTGACTGTTCTCAGGTCAGGCACATTCTAGAAACAACATGCAGATCTGGTGACCCCGCCTCCCCCCAAAGACAGGGGGGGCCCCGCCAGGACTCCCCGGCCACTTGGGCGTTCAGGGCGGAGCGCGCCGTGGAGCCGCCCGAGCGCGCTCGGTCTCCGCCCTCACACAGCTGAGGCCCTGGGGCAGCTTCGCTGGCGTAACTGTTATATTCCGATGCCTCTGTGGGCTGGGGGGGGGGCGGCGCTGGGGGGCGAGAGGGCCTTTCAAAGGAGAAGAAAGAGAAATCCCGTGAGCCAGCACCGTGGGGGGAGGGCGCTAGCCACGCACACGCCACTCGTGGGACATGGGCCTCGCGTGCCGGTTGGAGCTGCTGCCATCCCACTTTTCTGAACACTTCGGGACCCCCCGGGGCCCTGGGCCCCCCCACCCCAGGGCTGCCGCCACGATGACAATGTAGACCTCTGTTTGGAGGTCTTGGTCCCGGAATCCACGAGGTCAGGTTCTAGAGGAACATGTAGGGACCTCATTCCCCCGCTTGCTCTGTTTTCAGGTGTCACGTGTGGACCACGCTGTTTCCAGCAGTTCCAGGGCCAAAAAGCGACATTAAAGATCTCGCGGTGACCATGAACTACGAGGTAACGCGGAAGGCCCTCCGCGCCGCGCTGTCTGCCGCGTGGTCCCCGGGTCTGTCCCCGGTGCCTGGTTTTCCATGTTGTGAGGCAGGGCCCCCACCCGGGAGGCTGGGCCCTCGGCGGCGCCGGCCGTCCTGCCCTGCGGCTGCTCCTTTAGCCGCCTGTGCTTAGGACGGTCTCTGGGCGTTGGGAAAGTCCCGCCGCAGGCGCGCTTGAACGTGAGTGTCCTGCCGGCCGTCTCGTCAGCGACCCTGGGCCCGTCCCGGAGCCCCTGGGCCCTGGGCAGCGAGCGGCGTCGGGGGCGAGGGGGCGGCCCCACGGCCTGTCCCGAGCCCGGGTCCCCGCACACGGGCGCCTGCTCGGCGGGGCTCCGCGTGGGAGGTGTCCCAGGGCCTCCGTGCAAAGGCCCAGAGGGAGGGCCGGTGACTTCTCCACATGTGCGTGTTCTCAGCCCGTTTCACCGTTCACGGCGCTTTGGCCTAACCGAGTGCCGACGTCCCTGTGGCTGTTTAGCTGTTCCGGCTTTTTTCCCTGAGCATCATGCGCTGAAAAAAATCACCTTCCCCAGGGAACCGTCCTGCTATCTCCGTCAAAAGTCAGTTGTCCGTATGTTGTGGCCCTTTCTGGACTCTCTTTGTGGTTTCCTCGGTCTGTCTGTCTATCTTTCTGCCAATACTGTACTGTCTTTATTACTATAACTTTACTGTAAACTTGGAGACCAGGTAGCGTAAGGCATCCAAATACCGGTTTTTTCAGGGTTGTGTTTCTTATTCTAGGTGGTTTTCATTTCCATGTATGTTTTAGAGCCAGTTTATCAATTTCTCCAGAAAAGGCTCCTGGGATCTTGACCAGGACCGTGTGGTATTACAGGTCAGTTTGGGGAGAAGGGACGTCCCAGCAACATGGAATTTTCCGCTCAGCAAACACGACGTGTCAGCCTGTTTAGGTAGCTTTTCTCTCATTTCTCTCCGCGGTGGCTAGAGATTTTCAGGGGCAGTTTTGTGACATGGCTGTGAAACCTGTCCTCGCACTGCACGGTCACTTAGACCAGGGGTCAGCGAGAGCCTGGTCTGTAAAGAGACGGGTAGTAAACATTTGAGGGCGACATGGTTTATCTCAGCTATTCAGTGTCGCCGCGGCCACGTGAAAGCAGCCACAGACGACGCGCATGTGGTGCATGTGGTTCTGGGTCAGTAAAGCTTTCCTCACCCCGGCGGCCGGCCCGGCCAGCTGCGCAGGCTGGAGCGTGCAGGCCACAGCCGCCCATCAAGCAGTTTTCTTAACAAGTCTCGCCTTCTCTCTGACAAAGCACTCGTGAGCAGACGCACCTGTCGGTGCCTCCTTGTAGGGATAGGAGAGGGACGAGGGACAATCAAGTGCTCGCCAAATGGACCATTTCCAGAAGCTGTGACCTTGGGGAAGCAGAAACCCCGCCCTCTGCCCCATCGTGGGTGGCCAGGGGAGCAGGCCGTGTGCTCTCGGGACGCAGCTTCTCTGGAGGGAGAGCAGGCCCTTGGGGGACCCTCGCGGCCCCTCTGTGCTGTGCCGTCCGGCGCCCTCGCTGCGGAACCCTCGCCCCGAGAGGCCGGCTGCGGCCCTTGGTCTGGGCTCGTCCCGCAGCATCTGAGCCTGGCGCCCGCCGTCGGCAGAGCCCCGGGGGCTGCTTTCTGCGTCCCCAGGCCGCTGGAGGGGACCGGCGTCAGCCTTCACTGTGGTTCAGGAACACCAAGTCCTGCGTGCAAAACTCCGGCTCGGGGCCGAGACGCTGGTTTCAGGACCAGCAACGCGGACGTCAGAGCTCTCAGCACGCCAGGCCCCTCGGGCTCGCCCTGCCTCCTCCTGCTGCCGAGTCATTCGAAAAAGGGGACGTGCCCCGGCCGGTGCCGCTCAGGGGTTGAGTGCCGGGCTGCGGGCCTCGAGGTCGCTGGTTCGATTCCCCGTCAGGGCACAGGCCTGGGCTGTGGGCCACGTCCCCAGCAGGGGGCGCGTGAGAGGCAGCCACACATGGATGTTTCTCTCCCTCTTTCTCCCTCCCTGCTCCTCTCTCTAAAAATAAGTAAATAAAATTTTTAAAAAAGAGGAGAGAGAGAGAGAGAGAGTGAGAGGAGAGAGTGAGCGCAGGAAGAACCGGGAAAAGGCAGCACCACCGGCTGCGGTGCAGGTGCCGCACCTGGGAGAGTCGGGGGGCCCAGGCCCACAGCTGGGCCCCAGCGGGGCCCCTGCTGGCAGAGCCCGGGCATCTGCCTCCAGGCGGGAAGCCCGCCTGGTGCGCTCCTGGGACCTCTGCTACCAGGGTGACGGGGGCCTTGAGCACTGTGGCCAGCGAGGGCGCGGCAAAGCCCCGGGACACGGTCAGTTTGGGGAAGGGCAGCCTTCCCCCGTGGCCATGGCTCGTGCCGCCGAGCCTGGCTGGTCTGCAGGACCGGGACCTGGGCGGCCGCTGCGTCCCAGCGCCGTCCTTCGCAACCTTTTGCCTGTTCAGACCTGAGCTAGAAACTGCGACATTCAAAGGACAGATACTCGGGGTGGAGGCGGGGAGGGATGGAAGAGGGATACGTTTGCCTTTGGCAATTGAAAGAAAGGCTTATTGTAAAAAAAGAAAAAAAAAATCTTATTCTGAGCTTTCCGTTTTTTGGAGACGGGTCTCGGGCCGTCCTTGGCTTCTACGCCAGCAACTAGAGACGGATCCTTCCAGAAGGTGCACCAGGCGGAGGGTGCGGCAGGGGCGGGGCACGGTGCGCAGGGAGGCCAGCGCGCGCAGACGCAGGCCGAGCGTGAGCACCGCGGTCCCTCCCAGACTGTGTCACTTTTGCTGCACATTTTCTAATTCCGATCAGTGCTATTTATAATCGCCCATATTGGTCATCACAAATGTGACTGGCAGGCAGAGCACGACAGAGCTATTAGAAAGGATGCAGCCTAGGCACGTGAACTGACATGTAAAATTCCGTACGATGTCCCACAGAATATAGTCCATTTATGAGGCCGCCTGCCCACTGGACTTCGTACGACTGTAGAGATAACTGTACGCACAGAAATGAAGGGCTGAGGAGAAACTGTGGGCTGTGCTCGGTCGGGGGGCAGGGGCTGGGTTTACATGTATTTTTTGTCTTCTTTCTACTTTATTTTCCATGTTGTCTTCAGTGAACATTAACTGGTTTTCAAAGCAAAACAGACATGAAGCTGATGTAAAGGACCACCAGAAGCTCTATGAAAGGCCGCTTAGCGGAGATGTTTTGTTTTGCAGAAAACCGGGTCTGGGGAAACAGAAAGTGAAGTCATAAGCTACGTGGAGGAGCCTGGGCTCGAGGTCCTGGACGACTTCGTGTTCTGACAGCGGCGGTGACATCGCAGGCGGACGCGCCACTGGCTCTGTGGGACAAAAGGGCCAGAGCAGCCTTTCCAGGCAGAGAGGAGCCAGGACGCGCAGGCCCGGAGGGGCTGCGAGGCTCCCGGAGGACGCGGCTCTCAAAACCGTGGCCGCAGCACCGACCCTCCTCCTGCCCGTCCCCGCCCTCGGGGAGCGGGACTAAGGAGTCCGGCCGCTGCGCCCAGGCTTTCTCCCAGCCCAGTGCACGGGGCGCTCCCCGCCTGCCAGTCTTGGAGGTGCCAGCACCCACCTCGGACATCTTTGTGCAGGAGGCAGGTTTGCTGTGACCTGGGGTGACTCCGGGCTGCCCCGGAGGGCGTGGCTGGTTAAGTCAGAACCTCAGGTAGAAAGCACTTTGCACCAGCCGGAGGGAACCGGCTACGGGATTCCCGGCTGTCTTTCCTACCCCTGAGCTCTTGGATACTTTTGGGGGGGGGGCGGGGAGAGAGAGAGAGAGAGAGAGAGAGGAGGGAGAAGCTCAAGCTGCACCTCATGGTTCAGGCATCATTTGAGGCAAACTAATTTAAAAACTTAAAGGGAAAAATATCACTCTGTATCAGGAGGGGACCGGGTTCGAAACCCGGACAACCCAAACGACCCTGGACGACCCCAGGAAAGGCTTTGGGCAGATCTGCGTTGTGAAGGGGGTCCCTGGATCCAGAGTGAACTTTCTGAAGCGGCGTTTGCTGGCGAAGATGTGGGGGCAGCTTGCTCGGCGCCTGTTCATGGAGCGGCAGGTGGATCGCAGTCTCCAGGCTAGGGAGCCCCCTGCTGGTCACCGCCCCCCCCCCGCCCCCCTGGCCAGGGCCCAGCCCGGACAGGAAGGCCTCCCTCCGTGTCCCCGGTTGGAGGCCTTTCCAGTGATTGGTGGGTGGGTAGAACCGAGCACAGGTGCGTCCTGGGTGGCGGACCAGCAGCAAGAGGGACAGGGAATCCCTGCAGAGGGGAGCTCAGGGCAGGGAAGGGGGCGTCTGGGAGCTCAGACCCCTCAGGCAACACACTCCCACGCCGCCCGGGGTCGGCTCAGTTGGCGTCGGCTCAGGAGTGGGGTGCGCTGGCTGCCAGGTGCGTCCAGGGCTTTCTGTCCCCATCACGCTCACTGCAGCCAGAGCGGGGACAGGGCCACGGCACAGCGGGGGGTGTGTGTGTCCCCGCAAAGTCACACATTGCGACTCTCCCCTCCCGCGTGACCGCATCCGGGGGTAGTCGGGTCCCGGGGGTGCAGCCCCCGTAAGCGGGGTCGGTGGTTCTGTCAAGGGGCCCCAGAGGGCGCCCTTTGCCCCGTTTGGGGAGCCGAGAAACCTGCGACCTGGAAGGAGGCTCCACGAAGCCCGGCCGCGCGGCCCGACCCCCGGCCGCCTGCCTGCGGGGCTGTGAGAAATAAAGGTGCCCTGCTGTCCTGAGCCAACGCGCCCGGGGCTTTGTCCGGAGGCCTGAGCGGCGGCCCCTCGACCGGCTCCGATCCTGCCCCTGCTCTCGCCGCGACGCCCCGTTCCACAGAGGTGACCCCCAGGTCAGGAAGGGGCGCAGGGAAGGGCTGCGTGCCAGGCCCCGGAGACCCCGGGGCCGGGGGCCGCGCGGGCATGACGGTGCCCTGGCGGGTCATCCCAGTGCAGGTCGCTGGGCCATTCCGGGGGCCGGGGGTCTGCTGGTGGAGGTCTGGGGGCGGGGCGGGCCGCCTGCGTTTCTACGGGGCCCCCAGGTGCCGCTGCTGCTGGTTCCCACGGCACCTGAGGACGCTGCCGGTGGGGGAGGGCTGGGGATTCCAGCGAACGCCACCGTTGGAGGACTAGCTGCTGAAGAAACAAGGCGGGGAAACTCCCGCCAAACGTGCAGCCCCTTCGGGCCTGTTGCTTCCTGCCCGTCTCCTTCTAACGGGAGCTGGGACACCTGGGATGGGATGGGACTGCCTCCCCCCGCCCCCCGGAGGCTGGGGACAAGAAGCCGCCTGCCCGGGAGCTGGCCATCCCCTGGCACCGGGCAGAGGCAGCGCCTGGCTCTCGGGGCGTGTGCCGGGCATGAGGGCCGCTGGCCCTCAGGTCCCGCCCGGGGATCGCGCCCCGGCTCCGGGAGCCCCACCCCGCGCCCCTCCTCTGTGGAGCCCTCGGATGCTTTTGCCCAACGCCGGGGCGTCGCACTGGGTCTCAGTCCCCGGAGCCGTGCCCGGGCTGCTTGGCCCCCTGGAACTGGCCACCTGTGGTCCATCTCTCTGTGTGTCCGGGACAGGGACCCCAAGGAAGACGCAGGCCTCCCGGGCCTCTTGGCCCCTCGCTCCCCGGCCCGGCCCCTTGTGCAGAGCGGGGACCGGTGCCCTGCGGCAGGGGGCGCGGAGGGAGGCGGTGCTCACGGGAAGGCGACTGGCGAGCCCAGCAGGTGCGTGTGTGGCCCCGGCCTCGCGGCCTGGCTCTCTGTGCTCCGGACCCACTCAGCAGGGCTGGACGCGCGGCCAAGCGAGAGGAGCCGGGCTTCGGGAGAATGCGGCCGGATCCGAGCGGCCACCAGCTTCTCCGGGGCCCAAGAGGGTGCACACTCACTGAGCAGTGAACACACCGTCCGCAAGCTGGTTGGGCCTTGGACACGGAGGACGGACACATCCCCCTCAGAGCCTTCAGCTGCCGGCTCCGAGCACACCCGGCCCCTCCGAGACCCCTCCCCCCAACGAGGGTCTCGCCCGTCCCTCCCTGTGGCGTTGGGACTGTCCGAGCGCCGCCTCGTGGTCTGGGGCTGGGAGACAGAGGGCAGGCTCTGGTGGCCGACAGCTGCCCGCTGGAGCCTTGCGGAGAAGCCGCGTGTGCAGGGGGCACCCCGATTAAAACGCCAGGGTGTTCGTGGGGGGCCTGCAGGTGGGAGGACCTCTGTGGGTGGAATTAATAAACTCAGGGGCTGTCCGGTCAAGGGAGGGCTGGGTCGCTGGAAGTGGGAACAGAACCGGAAGCCCCCTCCGAAGGCTGGCGCGGGGGGCAGGCCGAGGAGCTGTCCCCTTCCTGCCCTGCAAATCGGGTTCGGGGGCCCAGGCTCCGTGGAAGCCGCCCCTTCTGTTAGAATGTTACACCACGCAACAAGACAGCCTCGTTTGTCCCAGGACCCCGGTTTCAGGGAGTGGATGCGAATGTGGGTGCAGCGGGGTGAGCAATGCTCTGTAAACGGCCGAGAGCCCTGTAAGGCTGCAGCCTGCGCGGCGCGTCCCTCAGCCTCCACGAATAGCCCCTGGCCCCCCGACTGCCTTCCTGGTCTCCCAGCCAGGACCCCCGAGCAGCCCCTCCGCGCCACCCCTCACACGCGGTCGCCCCTGCCTCCGCAGCACCAGGTGCCGGTCACCCCATATCCAAAACCTTCCAGGACCTGTTGCCTTCGAGTTCAAGCTCCTTTGAAACACAGGCGCCTTTGACCGGCGCGGCGGCGGCGCCCGGAGCCCGTTCCGAGGACCCCCGTGCTCCCCGCCCGGCACAGCCCTGCGCCGCTTCCTCGAAGGGAGAAGCCAGTCGCCTCTTTGCCTCTCTGTCGGCATTTTATCTACTGAGCCCCTCCTCTTTGCCACCGGGGAGTCTTGCTCTGCCTCCCGGGTCCCTTTCCTTCGAGTCTGTCGCTCACTATGTTGTTTATGTTATTGGACACCCTCCTCCCCTTATTTAATGTGTAGACACTCAGTGTCAAGACCAATGTCCCGCTGGGCTCTGCAGCTTCGACCCCCGAGCAGGGGCCGGTGCGAAGGCAGGCAAGTTTCTGAAACGGGCTCCGCGCTGGAAAACCAGACCCCGCGTGGGTCTGGAGGACCGCGCTCCGGCGGCGACCGCACAGAGGAAACCACGGCAGAGACACAGGGACTCACGGTTGGCGCGGCTCCGGCTCCGGCTCCGGCACCGGCAGCCCCGGGCTCCAGGTGGACGTGCTGCCGGCCCCGCTGGGCTCGTGGTGGGTGCCCGCCCACGTGCGCGGCGTTAGGATCGGGCGATCCCTCACCGCGAAGGCGTGGTGTCAGGCTACCTCATTTACTAAGAGTAAAAGCGGAGGCGTGGCCCTGCCCGGGGCGAGGTGGGAGGCTGTGAAGCCGGCGGCGGCGGCGGCGGCTGGGGAATTGCTGGGAGGACGTCACCAGGAAAGTCCTGGGGTGAGGCTGTGGGTGTTTGCAGGTGTGAGAGCATCGGTCGCTGCTGTGTTTCAGTAAATCTTTATTTATAAAGAACAGATGCTGAACCAGAGGCATGGGACTTAGTTATACTATAAAAACATTTTATATATATATTTTTAAAGATTTTATTTGTTTATTTTTAGAGAGAAGAGAAGAGGGAGAGAGAGAGAGGAGAGAAAAGTTAATGTGCGGTTGCCTATTGAGCGCCCCCTACTGGGGACCTGGCCCGCATCGCAGGCCTGTGCCCCGACTGGGGGTCCACCTGGGGACCGTCGGTTTGCAGGCCGGTGCTCGATCCACGGAGCCCCACCCGCCAGGGCTAAGCACGTATTTTAAAATGTGGAATCCAAGTTCAGCGGGGCCTCCCGTATTTCTTGCGGCGGCCCTGGTCCTGCCGCGCAGCCCAAGTGTGAACAAATAGCTGTGAGACGCCCGAGGTCACGTACGAGCAGCAAGAGACAACCCCAGCTGCAGGAAAGAGAGAAGCCGTGAGCGGGGCCCCTGGGAGCCGCGAGTTCGGTCCCGGGGCTGTGTGGCTCTGGGTGCAGATCCTGCCCCCGAGCCCGGCCCCGGTCCCGGGGGCGTTTCAGTGGCCCTGGGCAGCCTCTCGGGATGCTGGCCGGTGTCCCTGCCTGTCCGCCACCCGTGTAACTATCTAACTGTGGAACGATGCAACCTCGTCTGCCTAGCTGTCTCCCTCTCTCATCTCCAGCGTATGTATCTAACAGGCATCCCTCATGTCTACGATTCGCCTTCAATCTCTAGCACATATATTGATCTATAAATTATCTATCTACCTATCTATCAATCATCTATTATCTGTCTCTATTCGCCG